TTTAGTGGGCATGGATGATGGTTGGACTCGATGATCTTGAAGGTCTTTTCCAACCTAAATGATTCTATGATTCTATTCTGTATTAGTAGCTGAGATTCTTCCTCTCCAAGAAAAGTCTCCCAAGTGTGCACGTTTCAGTATCTATGAATCTGTAGGAAAAAATAGACTACATTGTTCAATGAAACTAGGGGGTTCCTCCCCAGTATAATGCAAGCCAATCACTTAGATTCCCTGCAAAAACCTCTTACTAGTAATGATCACCTAAATCAGGCACGTGTAAAAAGTTCTAGTCCAGAAAGCAAGCACCGACTATGCATTAAGGGTTGAAGAAGGTAATTTCTACGTTACTTAGTAGAATTAAAAAAAAAAAAAAATCAGAACACAATCACATATATTAATGAATCATACACTTACAGTTGCCTTCGATGCAAGTTGAACATATTCTGTGACTAGCAAAATGTCAAATGAAGGTCACCTTCAGCAGCAATTTTACAGACTTACAGCTTTGATACTTTAATACACTGTGCATCTAAGAAAAATGATCCATGGAAAAGGGATGGGTTGCATAAAACATTATCTTCAAATGCAAGTAGATTTGCAATACATCCTGTTCATCCCTACTGTGCACTGCTGGAAGAAACCACTCCTTGCCGTACCAGCATAAATTACTAAACTAAGACCAGCGCAGAAAGCACCACGATACATGAAGGAATCAAGCTTGCAAGATAAGGCTGCCGAGAGTGCTGGAAAAACACGTTTTCCCATTAAAGTGGCAGTACAGCTTTTAACCAGGTGAATGCCAGCAAGCTTTCGGCAGCTCCTTCACTGCAGCCGCACTCCCGTCCTCATTCGTCTTTCCGCGGTTGCAGGGGAGCGTTGCTTTTTTGGGCCACATCTGAAGAGTCCGCGATCCGACCGGAGAAAACCGCCTCCAGTCGCTCATCTATCTCCGTTTTCTCCCTGAAGACGCACCAGAGCAACAGCCCAGTGCACAGCAGACTGAGAGGCAGCACCTTCGCCCACGGCCTCTCGTGGTCGCTCCCCATGGAACGGCTGACGCTCCACACCCGCGGACTGGCCTTGCTGGCGGAGAAGGGGATGGCCCCCGCGCCCTCCGGATCCGGGCCCGCCGGGCCTCGCTGCCGCGCCAGCCACCTCCGGGGGCCAGGCAGGGGCAGGGAGCGCCGTGCCCTGCAAAGACACAGGCATCAGAGGCGCGAGGCGCGCAGCCCGCGGCCCCGACCCCGCGCCCACCACCTCACCGCCAGCGGCCCAGCACTCAGCTCATCCCGCCGCGCCGCCCTGC